CCCCCCCCCCCCCGCCTTCTCTTATTCCCTTCCCCTTCAATTTTCCTGTAGGGCAGGATGGACTTCTGTATCCCATTTCCTGTATTTCTTATTTCCCAGTAATGCAGTCAATTCTTAAGGAAATTAATTCAGGCTATTCACTGGAAAGGCAAATACTGAAGCTGAAGCTTAAATACTTTGGCCACTTAATGAGAAGATGGGATTCACTGGAAAAGACTGATGTTGGGAAAGATTGAAGGCAAAAGGAGAAGAGGATGGTAGAGAATGAGATGGACAGACAGTATCATGGAAACAATGAACATGAATTCGGACAGACTTTGGGAGATAGTGGAAGACAGAAAAGTCTGGCGTGCTATGGTCATGGGATCACAAAAACTCAGACTGAGTGATTGAATAACAACACCACACATGATAGGGTACATTTGCCCTGTGTGAGTAACACAGGGAGTCTTTCCCATTTTAGCTATTTTTATATTGTCCGGTGATGCTCCGGGAAGGCTACTGCGGGGCATTTGTGGTCTGTTTGCCTCTCCATGTGTCTCATGCATTTCTCCTGTGCTTGGTATGTGATCTGGATCAGGAGGTCAACTTACTGGAAGGAAAAATGTGTGACTAGGCTGCATATCTTTAAAAGTGATTTGAGACTCCACCCTATCCCTCTAAGGTTGTGTTTAAGAGTTCCAGGTGTTCTAAGAGCTCTAAACTTGGAAGCTTAGAATTTCAAGGACGGAAGGCACCTTCCCAGGGCATTTAGTCTAATCTCCCACCCAATGAAAGAATCTTCTCTTTGGCCTTCTTGGTTAGTGGACATTTCTCATTGTCAAGAAGTCATTCCTTCTGGGCTTTCTGTCTTTAACTCAAAGGGGTGAGCCTAATAGTGGGATTTCATGTGCTAAGGGGGCACATAGGGAAGATAGTTGAGGGGTATGATGTGTCTCCCCTTTTTTTCAGTGTCCCTTCAATTACACTTGCTAGATGGCCACATATTTTGCCTGTGGACAAGTCCAACCCTGGGAGTGGGTTGTTTAGAAGTTTCCTCAAAAAAGAGTTAATATGCCATTAATGAGAATCAGGAATTTTCTGGGCAGAAAGGAATTCCCTTCATTCAATCAGAGCAACATATATTCTAGGAAGAATTGCTTTCCTCCTTTGATGGGTCTGTGATCTCATCATGGAAGTCTGAAGGTCTTCTCATTCTTTGACTATTTTGTGGGCACAGCCCATTAGCTGTCTATCTGTTTTCTCTCACTTGATCCATCTATCCACCCATCCATCTATCCCTTCATCTATCCATCGATCCCTTCACGAACACTTATTACTATGTGTCAGGCACTGTTGTTGTTGTACGTCCTTTGTTCTTGAAGAGGACCAATGACATCATGAAGGTGATGTCTTGACTTATGAGTGAATTGGATTTGAGCGAGCCTTAACTTTCTCCTCCAGAGTCATCAGAGTCCAGTGGCAAGACATAAGTCAAGATGACTGGCAATGGCCCAGTGCTATAGTCAATACTTGAGAGAGTCTCTGCCTTCAAGGAGCTTATAATCAAATGCAGGAGACAATATGTACATATGTAGGGTGTCCCAAAAATCTTAGTGCAGTTTTAAGCGACTAAAAATTTAAACCACACTAAGACTTTTGGGACCCACTGTGTAACTATGTACAAAATATATGCAAAACAAATACAAGGTCATTTTGAAAGGTAGCATTTGAAGAGGGTAGGGGAGGATTGGGAAGCACATCATGTAGAAGGTACTACTTGAGCTGAATTGTGAAGGAAACCAGAGATTCCAAAGGAGAGAGGTTAGGAGAGTATGCAAAGGTGTGGAGACTTTTCCCTTTTATAAAAAAAAAAAAAGGCGGGGAGTCTCTTAGATGAACTCTCACATTAGATGTAGTTGTAAACAAAATTGTGACCCTGGTAAAGTCATTTAACCCTGTTTGCCTCAGTTTCCTCATCTGTAAAATGAGCTGGAGAAAGAAATGGCAAACCATTCTAGTATCTTTGCCAAAAAATATACCAAATGTGGTCACAAAGAGTCAGAGGTGACTGAAAGGCTCAACAACATCAACAACAAACAAAAGTTGTTGGAAAAGATTTGATTTGAATTGCATTTGTCCGGACAAAACCCATGAGAGTGCTGTCAATTACGTTGGATCGGGAGCCAGAGGTTCTGTTACGCTTTGTGACTTAAGACGAATGTCTTTCTCTCTCTGGGTCTCAAATTCCCCACTTATAAAGTGAAAAGGTTGGAAGAGGTGATCTCTAATATCCTTGTAGCTTCAAATCCTATGACCTGAGCCTGTGAAAGAGGAAGGCCCACTTTGTAGGAAGAGAGGATGGAAACCAGGGGGAGAAGTAGTGGGAGGCATTGCCAAGAGTGAGACTCAGCCTCTGCCCTTGCCCCAGGAGAGGCCTGCAGAGAATGATCAATCATTTCCAGTTGGCATCAGTGATCAATCAATCAGTAAGCATTTTCATGCACCAGACATGATGCCAGGAGGTGGGGTTGGCAGAGGGACCAGATCTGTGATTTCATTTGTATAGGGAACTCGAAGGTGAAAGTCCTCTCTCTCTCCCAAGGCAGGTTGACCCCTGCTAACCTTTGAGAGTAGCTGAGAGTGTTGACAAGGCTGTCTTGCCCAGAATCACACGGCCAGTGCGTGTGTAGGAGATGGGACTCAATTCAAGTCATCCTGGCTTTGAGGCTGACTCTGACTTGCTACTGCACCAAGCTGTGTCTTAGAAAACAGGGCCATAAAGACAAAAGAAGAAACAGGGGATTAATGTCATACTAAAGCAAACAACATGATGGAGGCTGAAGACCTGACCTTGCTACACATTTAAGTGGCTGTATGACATTGGGAAGTCATTGAGTCATGAGTCAATGTCCTTAACTGTTCAATGAGGGTGTTGGTTTAGATGCTCTCTAAGGCAAGGCTTCCTAACCTGGGTCCATGAATTTGTTTTAATTTTTTTTAAATAATTGTATTTCAGTATGATTAGTTTCATTAACAATTGCACATATTTTATTTTATTCGTTTAAAAACATAATTCCGATATGGGATCTGTAGGTTTCACTAGAACTCCAGAGGATTCTAGGACAAAAATATGGTTAAGAACATCTAAGGTCTTCCTCCTCTCCCCCTTCTTCTGTGATGTAGTGATTTTTAAAAAAAAAAATTAATTTATTTTGATTTATCAACAATCACTTCCATATGCTTTTGAGTTTAAAATTTTTCTCTCCCTTCCTCCCCACCACCCTCTCCAAGAAGGCGCACAATCAGATATAGGCTATACAGATGCATTCCTATTAAACATATTTTCACATTAGTGATGTTGTAAGTAAGAATTAGGACCAATAGGAGGAACCACCAGAAAGAGGTGACTGAAGATTGTAGTATAACAAGAAGAATTCTCAACAGAAGAGGAAAAAAAAATAGCAAATAGTATACTTCAATCTACATTCAAATTCCATAGTTTTTTCTTTGGATGTGGATAGCATTTTTCATCACTGTGAAAGTAGTGATTAAAAAAACCACTAGGCTCTGCCCACCACCAAACTGCAAAATTCAGGAAGTATCGTCTCTCTTTCACAACCTTCCCTCCACTCTCCATTCCAGGTACTTCCCGGCCCAGCTCGTCCCAGCCTGGCCCAGCCCAGCCCAGTCCAGCCCAGCCCTGCCCTGCCCTGCCCTGCCCAGCCAGGCCCAGCCTAGCTGGCATCCCTACCCTACCTGCTGGTTCTCAATTCCGCTTTGGTTCTCAGCTGGCTGTCAGCTACTTCCTGCTAAGAAGTTAATTGATAAATACCTCGATAACTATTGGTGACTAATCCCCAGGTAGGAGCCCTCCAAGAGGTGTTGCTGCTATTTAAATGGGGCCTCAGTCAAGCTAGCTGGAACCATCCGATTCCATTCAATTTATTGTCTTCATTGGCTGTCCATGTGGGCCCAGCCCGGAGTTATTATCATACCTTTCCCTAGCTAGTAATAGAAACAGGAGGAGACTCCCT